TTGAGGAAAATCGCCGACAGTTGACGCGAAAAAACGACTCGTGCGTATAAAAGCGGTATTTTAAGAGTATATCTCCTAATAACGCGTGAGACTGTTTTCAAATAATAATTAAATGGAACATAGTCAGGGAGAGACTAACAAGCATAAGCATGAGAGAACATTGTAAAAGACTTTGCTCCGTTATTGTTTATTTATAGCATGGATGAAGTATATTATATGTATATCCTGCAAAAAAATATCAAATCTTCTTGATAATCTCTAACTTTCTTTTATACTTATTACTTTCTTTTATATACTGTATTTTTTATGAAACATTATGTACTTTATATGAAACGTGTGTTCTTTTTAGATTTGATATTTTTATTATTATTTGATTTCCATATATAATTTTCTCGTGTTACAAATCTTGTGAAAAATGTATGATTTTTATTTTATAATGTCTCTTAAGTATTGTACGTAATAAGAATCTTGCGAATTAATATCATATATATCAGAGCTTTCCAATTTAATGTACATAAATAATTCTGATAGATTAACAAAATGAATATATAACGTATATTCATTAGCAATACGTATACATGTGTGAATAATAATAGCGGAATACGTAATAAACTCTCGCGCAACGTGGGTTGGCACAATTATACTTTTTACTCTATATAAGACTTTTCACTATAATTCCGATTTATAAATCGAGTCGTTCCAAATCTTGCTTTGTATGTGGAAAAAACTTGCTCCAAAATGTTGTGTATAGAAGAGTTTCTCAACATCGTTTGGGTCAAGTATAACTTGCAGTCAAAGTTTCTGACACGCGCCAACTGACAAGAAAATCGATAGAATTGGTCACCTAGTGTGTGACGATGTAATTTCCGCACGCACCGAAATTTCAGCGCACGCAACGCACCGTTGACCACACACTCGTCGTCGCCTATCGCGCTAACGTTTCCACACTTTTTTTCCTCCTCTCTTCGTGTTTACTGTATGTATATTTCTGACAATATAAATAACAGCGTAAAAAAATTGTCAACTGTCCAATGATTATAATATCGCGCTTGATAAGAACGAACACGAAGAGAGTGTAGATGCCTACTTGATTATTGTTGTCGACTCGTGTTTCAATTTTGATGTAAATTTTATTAAAAAGAAAGTCTATTTTCCTTCATTTAAAAATTAGATTAAATTTTTTAAGTCACACTTTTAATATCAATAACGTAATAAAGCATTAACATGTTTGCAGCGTTGTTCAAAAAATCTGACAACGAAATCAAGTGTGAAGCTTTCTTTCTCTTTCTAAATACTTCAGAGCTTTCGAGGGCTAACTGCATCAGAAATCGAACTACTCCAATAATCCATTCGGAAACCCGAGCGGTTCTTTTCCCCTTCCTCAACGTTCACAATTCAGCCGGAGATATTAATACCTTTATAAACGCAATTAGTTTTGTGGCGGCATCGCAAGAAAGAGGCTCCGAGAGTTTAATCTTGTTCGTGTCTGTTTCCGTAAAAGCTATTTCAATGTCGACAGGCATAGATTACGAAACGATGAAGTAGAAGACAGAACTAGAGATTGTTAGTGAAGATTAAAGCGCTATTGAGCAGTGTCAAAAGCATAATCTCGACGTTCTCTCGTTCAACAACCGCGCGCAGTTCTCTCTTTCTCTCTCCCTCCTTATACATGTATATATGTATATAAAGATTCGAGCTTGCCGAAGATGTCATCTGCAACATTGGAGCGGACAAACTTGCGCCAGGATCTTTGCAGCGAGATCAGCTGGCTGTGCGTTGGTAAGAGTCGCCGTATCGTGTACCAAGTCGATGTGGCAAGAAATAGACTACTATCCATCTGGATGTGCTGTGCGTGACAAACGACATGTACACTGAAATATATGTGCTTAAACATGTAAACGCATTTTATAAGTTCTAAATCGTTACATACAAAATAGATATGTACAATATTAATTTGTGCTCATTTTTTTAAATACATATTACACAAATGTCGCTATACATTTGGTGACGACGGTCTCATCTCGCAAAGTACTCACAAATAGAAAAGATTTTCAGAAATGCAAGGAAAAAAAACGAAAAAGAAAGAGTTCATTTATAAAAAGAAAATCTCTCATGTCACTTGCACCTGATTGCGCCATTAAATCATAGCAGTTACAGCGTATGTGTGTGTGTGAGACATACACATACAATCACGCATTCTGTGAAAAAAGTGAATCTGACAATCTCTAATTTATTAGAGCTCTTTATATATTTCGATGTAATAGAAATCTTTTAATCAAATTGTTCTCTCTTTCTCTTAGAAAAATCGATAGCATAATTTCTTTTGTTTCTCGAGTACAGAAATACAGAGCGACGTCTCGGCAAAACGCACTTCCGTTTGCGTTAAAATAGAAATAACGCATACAGGACCGATAAAGCGCGAGCGTAGCAACGACCTTATTACTCCGATATGTACATAACACATTAACGTGCAGCAAGGATTATGTTTGCATTTGTTTGAACGTGTAAACCGCAACTCAAGCAGAAACGTTTTCGTAAAATGTCTAGCAAAAGTAAAGTGTAGAACGTATTTCTCGCCCGTCGACATACTTCAAAGCTTTGAAAATGCACAAGTATATCCTCTGTAAATAAACATATCAAAGTTGTACTAATGATGTAAAAACATTTTTGTAGTAATATATTTAACAATGGAATTTTACACCACCTTTTTGTATAAATGAAAGGAACAATTATACAAGTGATTATTTATTGTGGCGTTCTTTGACGCTTGTTTGTTCAGTTATCTTGAGACATTTTCGTTGAAAAACATCGATTACAAGATAAGCACAAACTTAGTCGATTTTGTGATAGACTGCGTATGTATGTAGCACGTACCACTATGTAACGTTGACATTCAGCCGCGCTTTCTCGTCAAAAAATATTATTTTAACGCAAACTATCACGCTATATATAATACGTATCCATAACATTATCGCGCGTATCTCCTAAGTAAATGTCAAACTCTCTTATAATTAGAAAGAGAGCGATGTACAAAAACGTTAATTTAATTGTGATGAACAATCGCTATAAATTATAGCCATCTTCTCAACCCAATTGACAAACACAATGTACATCTTAAAAATGCGTTATGTATGTTTACTAGATCGCCAAAGGCTATTTTCTCTTTAAGTCTCTCTTCTCTACTGTCTTGCAACAAAACTCGTACAAGAAAAGGTATAATGCGCGGCCGCAAGTCTTCCTGGAATTTCGTGATTATCGAATATCGATTTTCGCAGACGCTATATTACCACTGCGAGGGAAACTTTGCCAGCTTTCCACAAATATCGGAACATTCCCACCTCCCATATAACCGCTCTATTCCGATAACTTCGTTCATCTGGCCCGATGTGCAAGCCGCGGAATTATACCGCATGGCGATATATCTAGCTAGAAATCAAATCGAGCGCTCGGTATATCGATTTATCTTCCGCAAATGAAATATTTTTATCGCGTCGTTATATTTGCGAAATTGTATTAAAAAATTCATGAAGCTTGTGCGATTATATTAAATTAACAACTGCGACAATGAATTAAACTCGATTATCTAAATAATTTATCTATATGTTATTTTTTGTTTTTCGTTCAATTACTCTCTCTCCTTTTTTCTCCCTATCAAATTTAATTCCCATGTTTTTAATCATTCTCATCTTTCGTATCAAATATACTTACGATAATAGTTACAAGCTTACTATACAGTTTCAGCTATATAGTCTATGTAATTTATCCGTAGACCAACGGTTTATTTTCGGTGTTAAGCATGTTTTTCTATCTACTGGATAATCGAAACTGGCTCAGAGCATGACAATCGGTTAATAATGCTTGCCGGGCTTTACTGGGATGTCGGAGCTTGTTAAAAATGTCAGACGCGTTTGCAATAATAATAATTTCGCAGTCGGTCGTTTGTGTTTGCGCAGCAACGACGTGTTGGCAGTATGTCGCAGATGTTGAATGTCCGGAAGTCACGTAGTCGGAAAAGCCGTCGGAAGTTCTGACTCGTACTGTATACGCTGCTGTCGATGCATGTGAATGCACGTTTGCAAATAATGACAGAGAGAGAGAGAGAGAGAGAGTAATTCGGATATTTCTCTTCATTTTCCTAGCTAACGTATTAATAATATAATATATTTATAGGACGAATATGAAAATATTTTCAAGCTGTAGTACGCTTATATATATGTATAAACCCAATAAATTTAATATCATTGTATGAAATTGTTGAACATGCATGACTTAAAATTAATGTTATCTCAGCAAGAAAACGTTGATAGAAATCGCTGGCCGTTTATAATTCGTAGAAATCGCGGAAAATGCAAGAGCGTTTGATGCCTCATAGTTTCACGGCGAATTAAAATTGTATACCATCATGTTCAAATATACACACGACCGTGATAATATCTGCCACATTGATACATATACTTTCCGATCGATGCGCACGACTGATACACGAAGTGACACGCGCGCGCGAAACGCCAGACACGCGTATTTGCAATGCGCGTACACATTATTGTGCGTTACATGCGCTATCATCAATCGATCTAAATTTCAAATCGACACTAAAAAGCGATCTGAGAGCATCGACGCTAATCGACACGCGCATCATCAAACCTGAGTTAAGTCTTTCGACTATTAATTATAGTATATCATGGAAAATGTGCAATCACATTTACAAGATTGTACTGTTTTACGGTTTTGGAAAAAAAATGTGCTAACCTAAAACTTATATTCTTTGTTAAAACGTTTTTTATAATATATAATATCTGTAATCAAACATATATGATTGAAAATATATAGTCTACCAAAAAATAAGCGTGTTTTTTTATTAATAGACTGTGCATTTTTTACGTATTTATTAGCAATTCCTCGCATCATGTTGGATTATCTAATTTTTATAATGGTACGGAAGTAAAATGGCGTTGATAGAACAGCATCGAGTAAAAAGTTGTTAAAATTACAAGACTCACCGATATGATGTGCCAGGACGCTCTGTAAGAATCGGGCGCAAATTCTGAAACACAAAAGAGAGGAAGAACTTTTAGATGTGCAAAAAGAGATAAGCGACACTGCATCCTCCACCAATCGTTAATCTTCTATGAGAGAAACATTCGTCCCGACTAACTGGTGTTTGAAACTTGAAACCGCCTCCACCAACAGTAGCTATTACAAGGCGTGCATTGAAGATTCTCGCACTCTACCTAGCATTTATCGTTTGAGGAAGACAAATGTAAGGTCTTCTCAGTCGAAGACTCGTTCGAACTATATTTTCCCAGAATTTTGGTTATGTTGGCGACTTTAAGAAAAAACACTTTTGAGAACGCGTTTCATTTTATTTGAAAATATTTCTTTTAAGTTTGATCAAAAATACAAAAATATCGAGATATTGATTGCTAGCATTTTGTCTTTTCTCAACGATATTTAATATTTATTTGTTTAATAGCAAATATATACTTTGTTATCGCGAGAATTGAAATATTTTTTTATTATTAGAGAATCCGAAATTTGTTGTCCAACTTTCAAAGAAATAATGCGCACGTTGATGATAATGCAATAATTGCATGCGTGCATGAAATTTTTCATAGTGGTTTTATACTTCGACAGATTTTGTCGCCATGTGAAAACGACAGATTTTCTTTCGTCATTGATCACAGCCAAATCGAAAGACAAACAAGACAAACACACGGTTGGCGGATCTCGCTGTCGCAACCACCCTGTTTCCAACGAAAGAGAGAACGAGAGTGGATTCCGTTTGCCCGCCGGCAATTACAAAGCATGGATTTGCATAAAAGTGAAAAAAAAAAACTTCTCCCATTAGGCATCATTTTTCTCGTCTTTTTTTTCCTTCGTGATTCGCAATTTTTGACTGCTATCGACGATTACATTTGAATATGAAACAGCCATAATTATTATTTGCAAGAATTATAAAAAACAAAACCAAAGAGAAGGGAATGATAAATATATTTTCAACTCCATAGAGAAAGTTGCGCAAGATAAAGAGCACCATCAATGCACTTGCAATTTTAGAAAACTTGTAGTACACTTTTTGCTCCAGTGAATTATTCTGTTTTATCGGATTGTATTCTCTCTTGCACTTAATTTGTTCGTAAATATATTGATCTGACTACATACAGTTCATTGAGGAAAACTATGTTCTCTCACGATAATCTCGTGTTACAATGCGCGTATTCCGTTCACGTTTGAAAGCTGTAATCGACAACAAAATAACAATGTACGTACATATACACACGGCGCGCTGCGCGAAAGCGTGCATTCGATACATTAGATCGCAAACAAAGCGGTTGAGTTGTTCCGGCAAGAGATAACACACGCGAAACGCGAGGCTTATACACTTACTGGCTCGATTTGCACGCATCGCACACACATCATTGGTCACACAAAGCGACCGTGCGCGCAGAGATTTTCCAAAATTAAAGCGCGTTATATTATCGAGAAGATCCTCGCATGTGAACGAACGCGCGTCCGATTTTACGGGCTTGTGACTACCCGGATTGGGTAAAAGTGTCCGAAAATGTGTACATGCTGGCACACATTCATCTATCCAGGAAACTATAATCGTTCGGTATAAAAAGCGTCGCTTCCGCGTTCCTTCTTTTTCAAAGAGCCTCTTTCGCATAAAAAGAGTCGAGCGTATATTTTTAGCTCTCTGTGTAGTTTTTCCCGAGAAGAGAACAATTTTGGGTTAAAAAATGAAGATTGTCGAATTGTTATTATAAAGTAGGTTTAATATGTTAATTTAAAAAAGTTTAGACTAATGAAAAGTGGCGGTAGTAAAAAATTATTAGGAAAAGTTGAGCAAGTAATGATGAAAAAAAAAACAAAACCGCGATATTCAACCTTTTTTTCATTGATCTTAAATAGGTAAAAAATACAACATGTGATGATACTGTGTGTGAATGAAATAAATAACAGATATATATATAAAATTTAAATGAAGATGAGAAATGTGTTTTCCGATTTAATACCGAGGAACAATGTCACTGTCAGTCACTGCGACTCAATGTCAATATCAATTACTGCAAAATCCAAAATAACGTCTCGCCATTTCGACATTTTAATTACAGAGATTGACTTTATATTAGTTTTGACAATTTTGACTCTGATCGCATTCCGTCTTATTTTTTTCACTTCAAGTTTTAAACAGTTTTTTATTATAATTACATTTTTTCAACTCACAATATTTCATATTATAATTCTTATTCAAAAAAACTGTTTTCTAAAATCATTATATACAACAAAAACATTATTTAAAATATAATTAAATGATACAAAACAAAGGAAGTTCTCTGACTTGTTTGTACTAGAATTATCACAGTTCGTTGCATATAGATAAGGATTAACACGTAGCAAAGTGCATTTACATGCTGACTTTGTATCCTATGCTTTGCAAATTCAATACCATGTGCAGCGCAAAATAGGGATCTTGTGCAGCTGCAGAATGTCACAAGAGACAAATTGCGGTGCACATAGCTAAGTACACGTAGGTACTATTCGTGATTTACAACGCTACGATCGGATGTATTATAATTTGTATGTATCTCTAAAAAACCAAGTGCGTGCACTTTCCACACACACACAAAGAGAGAGAGAGAGAGAAATGCACATACACATTTACACATACATTACAGATAATTTTTTTATGCAACACCATAATCACTGGGGCATATATTTAATTAGTTAAAGAAGACGTAATTCAAGCCAGTAAGCAGTTGTTAATCGTAATATTATAAAGAATTCGCCGGTAATCGAGATAAAACTTGATTAAACTCGAAATTGCGCATTGCAAGGACTATTCCTTTTCTTGAGCAAAATTTAATTAGGAATATTAAAGTCGTCGCAGCGGATATATATCCGTGTTATCACGTCGCACTTCACGGATCCTAAAAGACTTTCATTCTGTACGTTCCAACTTTACGTTCCGCGTTAAGAAACTACACGTTTTGTTGTCAATTTACGCGTGAATTTCGTTGAACTTTATTGCAAACGAGACCCCTTTCCCTTACACTTCGATCCGCGAAATGAAATTACCCAGAGACGGCGCAATTCTACGCTTTAATTCTGCATCGGAATGAAATATATTCAGCGGATATTACAGCGTGCGGGAAGGATGTCGAGTTTATGGCTATCACTGTCAAAACCGGTAAAAGGATCGCTTGAAATCTGCCAGGTATTTTCTGTTCTAAAGAAAAACCGCGCGGATCGAAATAGATATGCTGCTGGTGGTACTCGAGCAATATATCCAGTAACACGTCTAGCCGCTGTCACCTGTCGTCTCGACTTGTGATGTTCGAGAGAGATAAGGGGACAACCAGCGACAGTACGGCGCAAAATTCCAGAATCGGATAACTTTACGGTATATTGACACATCTGGCACTTTTTTCAGCGAAAATGGATTAATGTCACGATGCAATTTAAGATTTGCTACTTAACGGAACAATATTTTTTTACTAAAATATATTGTGCATTATCAGCTGTTAAATAAAACGAAAGATAGTTTGCGGATAAAGATATAATGTATATCAAATATGCAGCAGATTATACTTGTTATCTTATCTTGTACGAAATAGTCAATTTTAAAGTTTTAAGTAAAGGAAATTTAATTTTACAAATACATGTATTTGATAATTAAAAAACTAGAAAATTTAAATATTTTTTGATTAGACTAAATTTTGATAAAAATTAAATTTTCCAAAATGTAAGATACTTTTACTACACACTATATTTTTTTCAAAGAATGACACGTTCCCTCATCGATGTAACCACTACGAATTGAAGATCCAAAGACCGCTGTCCAAACGAACGATGTAGACTCCATCAATGGAATAAGTGTGTGTACAGCAATACTTCGCTCAGCTGGACATCTCATCAACCGAACCGGCCACCGCAATGTTATGAAAGCCTTCACAGCGGCGTGTCCCGCACAGGTTGCAGTGGCTGAAGAAACAATCGATAGCTGATGATCGTTTGCCGTTAATCCGAATTGATCCATATAAGGACCTTGATCCCGGTCACGCTCTTTTATGTGGAAAATTCACGGTGTAAATGCTCTCTCTCTCTCTCTCTCTCTCTCTCTCTCTCTCTCTCTCTCTCTCTCTCTCTCTCTCTCTCTCTTTCTCTCTCTCTCTTTGTAGAAAGATCGCTCGAAGTCGAAGGAAAACGGCGACGATACGGCCAGAGACAGAAAGAGTTGATAAAAAAAAAAGGCAAAGTCTCCGTTTAATCCGCTGCAATCGAAGAGGTCCTCTTTTTCCCCGTCGCCTTCTTTTTCAATCGCTTATTCGCTATGCCTTCTACTCGCTGCTGTCTTCTTCCTTCTTTCATCGCGTTCGTAATCCCGGATAAAATCCCAAAGTGATTGCCTCACTTTTTCCGCAACACGGCCAAAGGATAGACGCTTTCTCGCTGGAAGACTCTTCTTCCCGCCACGGATACATGCAGAGCGATGGAATTGCAAAGTCCTCCAAGTATTCGCGCTCGACGACGAGATAGAGAGAGTAGGAAATCTCTCTTGCTGAAGACCGGACGAGTGTCTGATAATCCGTCGCGTCGAAGGGCAAACCAAACAGAATCGTGAGTTGCAGACTACCGCGAATAGATGCGAAGAGAAGAGAGAAAGAGAGAGAGAGAGAGAGAAAGAGCAGAAAAGGAAACGAAGTCGAGATATTCGAGAGTCGGATAAAAAGGAAAAGCAGCTTGTAATATCTCACGAGAGGCGTGTCTCTCTTCTTATCTTTTGGCAAACTCTTGAGGTTTATGGTCGAGGTTTTCGTACGCTATGAAATTGGTATTTTTTTGCTTTTTCACGAATAAAGCTTCTACAACAAATTCAATCGGCATATAGCAATGCAAAATGCGTATTGAAACCTCAAAATGCAAAATGGTTTTTGATAAAGCAAGAACATATTTTTATTGTCCAAAACCTGATTCTAAATCGAATAAACGTGCGATAAAACTGTATAGCGACGAAACCCGGCAATGTGCGAAATAAATATTAA